CCATTTCTCAAATATTAATCCTCCCACCTCCCAAAAGACTACGCTGCATATCGGGGTCGTTTCATATCCCATTTCTCAAAAGATGAATTATCCCATCCCCTAAATAACTATGCTGCATTCGGGGGTCGTATCATGCCACATTTCTCAAAATATTCATCATCCCACCCCGTAGAAGACTGCTGCATTGCGGGGTCGTGTCATACCCCTATTCTCAAAATATAAATTCTCTCACCCCCAAAATACTAAGCTTCATTCGTGGGTCGTTTCATACCAAATTTCTCCAAATATTCATTCTCCCATCACCCAAAGGCTATGCTGCCTTCCGAGGTTGTTTCATACCCCAAATCTCAAAAAATTAATTCTGCGAACCCCCAAAAAACTATACTGCATTCGGGGTCGTTTCATACCCCATTTTTCAAAAGATCAATCCTCCCACCACCTGAAAACTGTGGTGCATTCCGGGGTCGTTTCATACCCCAATTCTCAAAAGATGAATCCTCCCACCCTCCAAAAGACTATGTTGCAATCCGGGGTCGTTTCATACCCCAATTCTCAAAAGATGAATCCTCCCACCCTTCAAAAGACTATGTTGCAATCCGGGGTCGTTTCATACACCATTTCTAAAAAGATCAATCCTCCCAACCACTTAACCCCTTTTGCTGCATTCAGGGGTCGTTTGATACCCCAATTCTCAAATGAGGAATCCTCCCACCCCCAATATACTATACTGCATTCGGGGGTCGTTTCATAGCCCATTTCTGAAAATATTAATCGTCCCATGAATACGCTTCCCACCCAAAAGTCTATGCCGCATTCCGGGGTTGTTTTATACCTCATTTCTCAAAAGATTATTCCTCTCACCCCCAAAAAGATAACGCTGCATTCGTGGGTCGTTTCATACGCCATTTCTCAAAATATTTATCCTCCCACCACCAAAAGACTCTGCTGTAATCCGGGGTCGTTTCATACCCCAATTCTCAAAATACAAATCCTTCTAATTCTTAAAAGACTATGCTGCATTCTGGGATAGCTTCATACCCTAATTCTCTTAAGATGAATCCTCCCACCCCCAAGAAGACAATGCTGAATTCGTGGGTCGCTTTGTACCCCATTTCTCAAAAGATGAATCCTCTCATCCTCCAAAAGAGTATGCTGCATTGGGGGGTCGCTTCGTACCCGATTTCTCAAAAGATGAATCCTCCCACTCCCCAGAAAACTATGCTGCACACGGTTGTCGCGGAGTGGTCGCTTCGCGGCTTTCCATTGTCGAGAGCCCAAGCCAGCTAGTGGGAGCAGCGAAGGATGGGAATCGCCGGATTACATCCCGTAGTCTTTTCCCTCATAACCACTTCCCCCAAAATCCTCTGCCATTATTGGCTATCAGAGAAGACAGCACGCTAGCATCCCGGTCGATGTTTCGGGGCGGAAAAAAAGAAAACAATTTACCTATGTTGGCCTTCTGTGTAACGCAATTAGGTGTTCTTGCACCAGCAAAGAAAAAACTTCGAACATGTGAAAATAGCAGAATGTTTGAACTGTGTCCAATTTAATTGAATGAAATATAGTTGTTTTAATTCTATATATTTTAAAGGAATATCTAGTTCCCATTTTCCCTCGTTTTTCGAGTAGCTCAATGTATACGCACAAATCTTTCAATTAATTATGAACATACCACATAGTTTAATTCCAAAATACCACGATTTCTCTACCTAATCGGTCAATTTTAATACACTGTGTACACTACAAACTGAACGTATAAGGAACAATATTGATCTTTTTCTGGACCATCAAACATGAAAGCGAAAGTATTATCTTGGAAGCAGTGATACCTGGGCGAGCTCTTCCTTCCTCACAACGCCAACCGATTGTGATGCAATCTGGCTACACGTTGATGTTGTTTTTAAGGTAGTTTTTAAGGTAGGCACACACGACCATTTAAACTATCCGCCGTAAGGAAGATGCGGCGACAGCGCCTGGCAGGTATCTCCCCCGTGCTTGCGGGAGGGGGCCCTGAGGCGGTCGTCACAGTAGTAGAGAGTGTGATAATGCCCAGCTGCGAGTGGAAAGTCCAAGTACGTAGTGTTGTCGAACTGTGCGACGGCATTGATTTTTCTCTCTTGGACTAAGGAACTGCGCTGCATATTGCACATCTACTAAGGATACGGCAACCATGTCTAGGCTAGTGTAGTTCATCTCGCGGACTTACGGAGATTTATCAAGTCTGTTGGCACGATTCTGTATGGTGGCTTGAACAAAACACAACCCTTTCCTTCCGGAGATGGGAGAGTATTTCAATGGGATCACAGCATAAGGGTTGGGGAAAAGTTGAGCGCGGGAAGCAATCGGGGGGACCGAAGGCGGAGAGAGAGAGAGAAAGAGTAGGAGAGAGAGGAAGACGAGAGAGGAGAGAGAGGAGAGAAGAAGAGAGAGAGAGAGAGGAGAGAGAGAGAGAGAGAAGGAGAGAGAGGGAGAGAGAGAGGAGAGAGAGAGAGACGAAAGAGGAGAGGAACCGAGAGAGGAAAGAGGAGAGAGAGAGGAGGAGAGAGACGAGCGAGAAGAAAGGAGAGAACGAGAAGAAGGAAAAGAGAGAGAGAGAGAGAGGATAAGAGATGAGAAGAGAGAGAGAGGAGAGAAGAGAGACGCGAAGAGAGAGAGAGAGAGAGAGAGAGAAGAGAGGAGAGAAGAGAAGAGACAGAGAGAAGAGATGAGGAGAGATGAGGAGAGAGAGGCAACTGCACCAGTAGTCGACGGAGGTGGCGACGCCGACGCGGCGCCGGAGCGCCACGAAGCGCGCGCGCCGCCCAACCGCCGCGCGCACGCGCGCCCGCTCGCGCTCGGGCAGCGCCCGGTGTAGCCGCCGCCCCCGCCGCGCCCAGCGCCAGCGCCACGCGCCGCGCCATCCGCCTCCCTGCCGCCTGCGCACAAACCATGTGCATGAGAAACAAGCACACATCACACACAATGGTATGATGGTAAACACACACACAGACACATATACACTAAAATTTTTAGGGAATAATTGAAGATTTGATCAAAGACAATTTGATTAGATTAACAATAAATAGTTGCAAGTTCAAAAATGTAGACGTAGCTATGAGGTCGGTAAGGTTTGGGAAATAGCAACAACGTATCGTGCTACATCGAGTACTAATAGTTGGAATTAAGTAAGGTGATTGACAGTTGTCTTCTATAAGCTGTTGTAGAAGTGTGCGTGTGCATGTATGTGTATATGTGTGTGTGTGTGTCTATATATATATATAGGGTGTTTCGAAAAAAATTTCGCTGGCTACCCTCCAGAATTAAAGTTTCACTTGAAAAAACATGTTCAGGCACCCTAAAAAAATTTTAAATAATTTTAGGGGCGCACCAATTCGCTCAAAAATGGGCATTTTTTTCGATATTTTTTACATTATTAACTACTAGTACAATAATGTCATTCAAAATAACATCGCGATTGGATATGTTTCGTGCCCCCCCAGGTAGTTGCTTTTTAAGGCCATAACACTCCATAAAGCGTTTATCATTACAGTAACTAAAAAGTCCCTAGAAGTTACTTTTTTGCCATTTTTTAGATATTTTTGTATTTAATCGGTTATAACTTCCAATATTTCTATTGAAAATGAGTTCTCTGTAAATACGTTTACAAGACAATATTATATTTTAAACCTATGGTACTAACAAGTATAAAACAATTGGAAGTTATAACCGATTAAATATGATACCCAGGGACACTGTTGTATCCACTTCACGTTGCTCCGCAGCACTTTTTATTAAATTGATTTTCATACTTTACTGGACTTGATCTCCGTATTTGCACCTCGATCACCACGCTCCTCCAGGGGACTTAGCTTCCCTACGAACTCAATATATTTGCGTACTGGACTGTAAGCTTTTGTAATTGCTTTTAAACACAACACACCTGCAGCAAAGGACTTTACACAGCTTTGAGCCAGCATTGCTGCAGTCTCTGCAGCCACTCTGACTGGGAGGGCCTAGAGTCGCTAGCTTCATCGCTAGGTAGTATTCGGTCTGAAGGAAAATAATTCTAGCGGCCGGATGCTCTAATCGGTAGTTTTCTGCATTTTCTTCTATCAATACCAGCGAATGTCGGAGTAATACCGTAACAAACGGGCCACGGACCGCGCGCGGTCTTTTTTTTTTTCCTTTTCCTAGCCCTATCCTCACCCCTTACTTACACACACACTTACATGCACTACACTACCACACATAACGGGAGACCAATCAAGAACTTAGAGCTTGTCCCGGCTGTGGTGGTGGCCTGCTGGGGGAGAAGCTATAGCTTTCATTCCGGCCAAATTCGTGCGGATTAACCGTAAACAAATGAGGCAACGAAGATTTACAAGACAATAGACATTTCGTACAGAGAGCAGCACGGACTTGGGCGCAACGTCACGGCTTTTTCTATAAACTTTAAGGGTGTTTATGAATCCCTGAAATTGAGAGCGTCGCTTGCTCAGAAGCGCAGCGAAATAACGACGCAAACCGTCGCAAGTGAGAGACAAGATACATTTATCTGGTAACTTGTGTGTGTATGTGTGAGTGAAAGCGTGTAAGAGTGTGTAAGTTAAGGGTGAAGATAAGATCGCGCGCGGTCCGTGGCCCGTTTGTTAGGGCACTACTTCGGCTATCGCCTGGTGTGGATCGCAGAAACCCCGGAAACTACCGATCAGAGCCGGCCACTAGAATTCTCCGCCAGAGAGCGACTGAAGTCGACCTATCTTTGTAGCTACAGTCGTAAACACTGCCACCGTCGGGAGTCAAACCTTAGGAAACCCGGGTCAGAGGCACTGCAGTGATATCAATTGATGCCCTGAGCCACCTTAGCCGGTGCCAGCGGGAGCGGGACGCCAGAGTCACTGCGCCGCACAAGAAATAGTGAATGAACACCCTACTCTTAATATTCAAGCTTATTCTTAACTTTTTAGGGCATAAGGAAACCCCATAATGCTTTCATGTTCTGTCGACATTCTTATTGTATTTGAGAAGCTGAATTCTGCGTATTTCAATATCAGACGAGGTCAAGTTGCTGCGAACATGCGTGTCGTATGACACCATCATCATATTATCGCTATTCCAAAACGTCTAGACAAGCTGCTCGAAGCCTTAACAACTCGATTGAATACCATTTCATCTTCCTTGCAAATAAATCGCTGATACGCTGCCTCGTCAGTAAGGTTGTGCATGATTATCATACAAAATTAAAGTAAATGTATTAAATGAAAATCAATCATACACGGTTTCTTTTGGTTTGTGCGTATACGCGCATGTCGAGGCATAGAACTTGGAAACTGCTGGAAAGAAAAGCACGCACTGTCTGTAGTTGTTGTAGTTGAGTGTCACCATGCGAAAAATACACACCATGAGAGCACAAGGACTGTATAATATCGCTTTGTGTCTTATTAATTTTTTAAACGAAGGTATAGGACAGTTAATTTTACATCTTTAAGAGTTTTTTTTGTTAAAAATGGATGATAACTGAAGTGAGTATATAGACTTTCCAATGATGATTTACGATGACAACACGAATCACCTTCCTACCACGAATTCATAACGCAATTGTGTCACCTCTGAGCAAAATAAGCGAAGTAGGTTGCAGCCAATAGATAAACGAACGTGCAAGAGAAATCAAAGTTTGTACACCAACATATGACTACTAAATTCAGCATGCACCTCCCAAGGCTACCTGAGAGATAATAGACGGAGAATAACGAAGAGAGTGGAATAAGGCAAAGATAAATGGCAAAAATCATAATTTACTCAATTCATATATTTTGGCGAAAAAGGTTGAGCTGGTAAAAGGTCTTAAATATCTTCACAATATTCTAGTGCGAATGTGAGAGAGATTTTTTTTATTAATTTTCCTTTACCAGTTCTAAGTCAAAGGGAAAAATACTAGTGTCTTACAGCAGCAAGTATTTTTTTAACAAAACCGTTTCACAAAGAGTAGCACGCACACTACATAATAAAAAAGAAAATACTGTCATATAACACCGCACTCAGTTAAATATTTTGACAAAAACAGTCTTCATATACTTTGCAATAACATCGACGGATACACATCAGTACAATTTTTTACATTATACTAATAGTAATCCCAAAATAGTAACTGCATTACGTCAAGATTTCATGGCGGAAGGCCCCTTCCTCGGAGCTTTGCTGTCGCAAGACGTTTGCGTTGTCAACCGTAGTGCAACGAGTAGACAATTCACACGGTTGCGCAGTATGAGAACACGAGGAATAACCCAAATATTTGTATTTTTCAGACAACATCCAGAATGATTCTTTTTTTTATTATTATTTTCAAATTCCTGTGTATCTAACGAAGCCGTACACACTTCTTAAAAGATCGGAGAGTGTAGTTGTATTTCTATTTCTGGGCGCACTGGAAGTTAGTAATATAGGTATGTCTGTCTACATGTTCGTATACAAGTATTTGGTTGCTTCCTTCCCCAGGAAGTGAATGATTTCTGTATTTTTATAGAAAAGAGCAGATAAGAAAATCGAAATTGAGACGGAGATAACGACAACAGATAATGGCGAAGGTCATAAAGAGTACGACAGGAAACAAGTAGTTAGAATGAATGCAGAGAAGTGTCCTCTCCAGGTGTTCCATGAGTGCTTATGGTACGGATGATTATCTAACAGTTCCAGAATGTAAGATATGAACAAGACCTTTTAAACTTTTATCAATATATGAGTAAGAAGAAAACTCACACCCAACACTCACCATGCTGGATACTCGGATTCTCACGAAATTTCGTCAGCTGGTAGAATGTCATACAAAACGCACATATCGATTTTTTGAAGTGCTATGGAGTATTGGAAATGGTGTTTTAGAAACTTTTGCAGCAAGACTTTGCATGACCTCCGCGCCTCCCGCAGCGGGCGAACCGCTGCAACTTCACGACATTTTATCAACCAGTGTCTCTAAAGCGTTCGTTCCTTCACGACTGACGGCAAATGCCATATGCGTTGGTCTCTTTTTAATCTGAACCGCAGTGGCATGCGTTCTTAATCATTTTACCGACGTCCGTTCAAAGGATACTTTAAACCAATTATGTTTTTTTGAGTTTTTACGGAAACCGAAAAAGAAACTTACGTGTCCTACGAAATTACACTGTTTATGAATTTTTATTATCAGACCCATTATTTCAAAAAAAATGTTTCTAACAGAAAAGTGCACGTATGTATTTATCGTATATCGGGGTAATATTTTTAGGGACCCATATCTTTGCAATAATTGTATTTGTATTATTCATGCATGTGTTCGACATTATTGTCCCTCTGAACCGGCCTCGTAAACACCCTTGTCACCCTACGTACCACACGCCCTCAGAGGCAATTGACACCCTGCCGTCAGATAGGCTCACAGCGGCGCCGCGGTGTCACGAGTAATGGCCTCAGGGCCTGAGACTCGCGGCGATTTCCGCGCTTCGACACGCAGTAAGGCCATGAAAGCTCTTAATACTAATTGTCTCTAAAACGCTACTTGCATTGCTTCACAGCACTTAAACATTTGCATGTAGGGGCTTCGAAACGTGCTGAACAAGCTGGTAAAATTGCATGTCAATCAGAATAGTCAGCATGGTGAGTGTTGCATGTAAACTGTATCAAAAAATCGAATGACATCTTTGTTTTGAATTCATACTTTTAAAAGATCGTACACCATGGTAAATTGCTACAATGTGTTAACTTCGGGCAACTTGTGTTGGCGAAGTCTTTCCTAGGCCTTTGGGAACA